ACAATTGTGGAAAAGTCGGTCACAAAAGCCCAGATTGTCGTCTCTCGAAAAAGGATAAGAAGAAGGGACAAGCCAACATAGTGGAGAAGAATAATGAGATTGATGATCTTTGCGCATTGCTTTCGGAATGCAATTTAGTTGGAAATCCGAAGGAGTGGTGGATTGACTCTGGAGCCACTCGACATGTTTGTGCTGTCAAAGAAGCATTTGCGACTTACTCTACTGCTGGTCCGGAAGAAGAAATTTCCATGGGAAATAATGCAACAGCCAAGATTGAAGGTTATGGGAAGATATTCCTGAAGATGACTTCCGGCAAGGTGTTAACGCTCAACAACGTTCTTCATGTTCCTACTATTAGGAAGAATTTAGTTTCTACTTCTTTACTTGTAAAGAATGGATTCAAATGTGTATTTGTTTCTGATAAAGTTGTTGTAAGCAAGAACGAAATGTATGTTGGAAAAGGCTACCTCACGGAGGGCCTTTTCAAACTCAATGTAATGGTTGTTGACAGTATGAATAAAATTTCAGCTTCTTCTTATTTATTGGAGTCAAATGATTTATGGCATATTCGTTTAGGACATGTCAATTATAAAACCTTGCGGAAGTTAATTAATTTAGAAGTATTGCCTAAATTCGAGTGTAATAAATCCAAATGTCAAATATGTGTTGAATCTAAGTTTGTAAAACATCCTTATAAGTCTGTTGAAAGGAATTTAAATCCTTTAGACTTAATTCATACTGACATTTGCGATATGAAGTCGACACCATCTCGAGGTGGAAAAAAAGTATTTTATTACTTTTATTGACGATTACACTAGATATTGTTATGTTTATTTGCTTAATAGTAAGGATGAAGCAATTGAAACATTTAAGCAATACAAGAATGAAGTGGAGAATCAATTGAATAAAAAGATCAAAATGATTAGAAGTGATAGAGGTGGAGAATATGAATCTCTGTTTGCAGAAATATGTTCGGAATATGGAATTATCCATCAAACTACTGCACCTTACACAGCTCAATCCAACGGAATTGCGGAAAGGAAAAAACGGACATTAAAGAAAATGATGAATTCTTTATTAATAAGTTCTAATTACCGTAGAGTTTGTAGGGGGGAAGCTCTCCTTACAGCTAACCGAATACTCAACAGAGTACCCACAGCAAAACGCAATCTATTCCATATGAAAAATGGAAAGGAAGAAAACCCAACGTGAAATATTGCAAAGTGTGGGGGTGTCTAGCAAAGGTACAAGTTCCTTTACCTAAAAGGGTTAAAATCGGACCAAAAATAGTAGATTCTGTTTTCATTGGATATGCTACAAACGGTAAATCATGTCGGTTTTTGGTTCATAAATTCGATAATCCCGAGATTCATGTTAATACGGTAATGGAATCAGATGATGCTGAATTCTTTGAAAGCATCTATCCGTATAAAACTGAATGCGAGTCGTTAGGTGAAAGACCTAAACGACCTCGGGAAGAACCAAAAGAAAATACTCCAAGTATAGAAGATCCAAGGCATAGCAAACGTCAAAGAACACCTACTTCCTTTGGACCAGATTTTGTGACATTCTTGCTTGAAAATGAGCCTCAAACTTTTAAAGCAGCTATGCCGTCTTCTGATTCAGCATTTTGGAAAGAGGCAGTCAATAGTGAGATTCAATCAATTTTGGATAACCATACATGGGAATTGGTTGATCTTCCTCCAGGAAATAAGCCTTTAGGTTCGAAATGGATCTTTAAACGAAAAATTAAAGCTGGTGGCACTATTGACAAATATAAGGCAAGACTTGTTGTCAAAGGTAATAGACAAAAGGAAGGTCTTGATTACTTTGAGACTTACTCGTCAGTAACAAGGATAACATCTATTAGGGTGTTAGTGGCACTAGCGGCCGTGTATGGTCTTGAAATCCATCAAATGGATGTTAAAATAGCTTTCTTAAATGGAGAATTGGAGTAATAAATTTACATGGAACAACCTGAGGGTTTTGTGGTTTCCTGGTAAAGAAAAGAAAGTGTGCAAACTTGTTAAGTCGCTTTATGGACTTAAACAAGCACCCAAACAATGGCATACAAAATTTGACCAAACAATGTTAGCAAATGGATTTAAAATCAACGAGTATGATAAATGTGTTTACATTAAAAATACTCCAGGTCATGAAGTCATTGTTTGTTTATATGTTGATGACATGTTGATAATAAGCAAAAGTATGGCAGATATAAATGCTACAAAGCCCATGTTGGCTAGTAAATTCGACATGAAAGACTTAGGAGTTGCTGATGTGATCTTAGGAATCAGAATTCGCAAGACTTCACAAGGTCTAGCATTATCACAATCTCACTACATTGAAAAGGCACTTGACAAGTTCAAGTATTTGGATTTCAAAATTTCCAAGACTCCAATTGACGTGAGTTATGCACTTCAAATGAATGAAGGTGAAAGTGACTTACAACTGGACTATGCAAGAGTATTGGAAAGTTTGATGTATATCATGAATTGTACGCGACCAGATATAGCATGTGCTATTAGCAAACTGAGTCGGTTTACAAGTAATCCCAATCTAATACATTGGATGGTAATGAAACGAGTTTTGGGATATCTGAAACATACCCAAAATTATGCTTTGCATTATAACAAATATCCTTCCGTGATCGAGGGATATAGTGATGCAAATTGGATCACCGGATCATCTGAAGTTAAATCCACGAGTGGATATGTTTTCACAATTGGGGGTGGAGCAGTATCTTGGAAATCATCCAAACAAACGTGCATCGCCCGTTCTACAATGGAATCTGAATTCATAGCTTTAGATAAGGCCGGTGAGGAAGCTGAATGGCTCCGGAATTTCTTGAAAGATATTCCATTTTGGCCCAAACCTTTGGCACCTATATGTATACATTGTGATAGTCAAGCGGCAATAGGTAGGGCAGGAAGCGTTATGTATAACGGAAAATCTCGTCATACCCGACGGAGACACAATACCGTTAGACGTCTACTCTCTAGTGGTGATATCACAATTGACTACGTAAAGTCAAGAGATAACGTGTCAGATCCACTTACAAAAGGCCTATCTAGAGAGGCAGTTGAAAGATCATCAAAGGGAATGGGGTTAAAGGCCTAGGACAAGTCATCATGGCGGTAACTCTACCTAGCAGACTGGAGATCCCAAGAGCTAGGTTCAAAGAGATCAAACAAAGTTATGAATGACGGTTCAATATTGTCAACTAACTCAACCCATTCTCGTAATGAAGACAATGTTCAAAAACGAGGTAAAGCATTAAGGCTTTTTTGATGAGTCAATAAAGCTTAAAGCATTTTAATGATTTGCTAAGTCTGGCAGGATATGACCAGATAGTGTGTCTTTAGGATTACACGTTTAGGAATCACCTATGTGAGTGTGAAGTGTAAGCCACTTCAAGGAGACTGAAAGTAAAGGCACATTCTCTAAGCACTCATGAAACCAGGCGGTGTTCATGGATGAAACGAACACAACCGTGAGAACCATAGATGGTTAAGGATTGATTGTGTGACTTATGTTGTTCAGGTATACAACAAAGCTCGACGGTTCAAAGATATCAAATCTACCGATTGACCGAGTATATCCGATATAAGTTCACTACGGAAAGTTCAAAGGGAAACTTACTTATCCAGATGCAATCAATTCTTGTTTGTAAAACACACACACGTCCGTGCATTCCTTTAAGTTTATAGCCATTCCCCATTTTTGTGGGGGATTGTTGGGTTTGTTATTTAATAAATAATAACAAAAGAGGTGTGAATGGAAAATGGTGGGAAAAGAAATGGAGGGACGACCCGCGACCCGGTCCGGTCTAGCCCGTTTTTCTTTCCCGGATTAATTTAAATTCGTTTTAAATTTCCCGCAAAAATTTCCAACAGCCATGGCTGTTCTGAAATAGTGTCACACCTGTTCCAACATCCATGACTATTCTGAAAAGTTGCAAACCTCTTCAGAGGGTCACACCTGTTCCAACAACCATGACTGTTCTGAAAGGTTGCAAACCTCTTTAGAGGGTCACACCTGTTCCAACAGTCATGACTATTCTGAAAGGTTGCAAACCTCTTCAGAAACATCACCAAGTTGGCTATAAATAGACCTTCAAATACCAGAATATTTACTTACGAAATTTTCTTATTATCTTCTTCTTCTTCTGCACTAAAATTCCAGTGTGTTTTGCTGCCATCGAGTGGTTCGCTGATCATCGGCGTTTTTGGTACCAACACTCCGGTGAGTTAAATCGTTCTATCCTGGGAGGATATATTCCATAACCTCGGGTACTTGAGGGGAATAATTTCCTTAAGGACACACTGTGTATTCAGTGGGCTCGATTTGTTCTTTCAACGTTTCAAAAATTATTTTGAAGTTCGAATATTATTTTTCAGAATTGTTTCTGCTAACTTTCTGTTTTATTTTTCAGAAAGATTACTGTTTTATTTACTTACAACAATATAGATAAAAAATAATTTTTGCTTTTCTCATAGTTCAAAATGTAGAAAAAACAAGAAAGTGTATGCTAATGAAAAAGCAAAATGGTTTTTTTTTTTAAATATTTTAGTCGAATGAGCTGCGGCTTCATTCACTCTTTATTCAACAACATCAGCCTTTTATAGGCAATTACAGCAAAAATAAACATAACAATTGTAACTAATTACTAGACTCTAGGTAACAGAAAACAAATCTCCTAGATATTAGGTAAACAAACAAATAAATAATAACTAAAAATATCTATTCATCTTATCAAAAAAAAAAAAAAAAAAACTAAAAATATCTTTGACTTATTCTACTACTATTATTCAACCAACATAAAACCATACTAATGAATGTCAACTCCAGTCACGATCATTTAGTATGTGATTAGATGATATCTATGTTTACATAACTAATTAATTAACCAATGTCAATAGCAATGTTGTCTGACAAAATCTTATTACAACAAATTAAATAAAAGGAGTTTGACATGTTACATCACTAGGACGCAAGTCTGAATCAAGTTGACACTGTATATTGAATATTGGCTTTAATTCATCAGTATACACCACCTGAGGGTTAGAGGCTCTTGAAGTATCGAAGGGACAAAGAGTACTGAATTCCGTGGCAAAACTAGTTCCTCCAAATGTCGTTGAAAGCAACTCCTATTAAATCATTCACCACTAAGGGTCGTTTGGTAAAAGGTATAAGAAGGTATAGTGCTGGTATAAAAATTTAACACCACCTTAATATTTCGTTTGGTTAGCAAATCAGGTATAAGTTATCCCAGAATTAAAATTAACATCGGGATAACTTATACCTTATAGAGGGTGGGGTAATTAGAACCGGTATAACTTATACACTCTTGTTACAGATTATGCAATTGTCATATTTAATACAACATACCAAACAATGGATAAAAAACAATTCCAGCATAACTTATACCAGTATAACTTATCCCGGCATAAGCCGTATTCAAACCAAACGACCCCTAAATTAAAACTTAATACTACTACTAATTTTTAGTGCTTTTCTGTTAATTTGTTTATCTTGCTGGACACATTGGATTCCTTTTCTTCTTGTGTTTGAATAGGGGTAGGTACTTCTACTGCTATTGATTGAATTTTAGCACTTTCGCGTGCTAAAATTGGAATTTCCATATTTATAGAATGCATTCCTTCATTTTGAGGTGGTGATGCTTCAGCATCCACTGCATCCGATTCAATTCGTACTGTGAGCTCTTTGCTCTTTGCCCGCAGGAACGAGTACAATCCCACTATGATCAGAAACATGCCAATCAAGCTGCAAAAATGCTGAATATAATGAAAATAGGCAACTAAACATAACAAGAATAGCTAGTGCTTAGTTTTCACATTAAGTTTGAGTCTTGAATAAAATTTTAACTAGCGAATTAGAACACATAAGTTGAACATCAAAGATGACAATTTTACCTTCCGATACTGATTTCTTCACCAAGAAAGGCAGCTTCTGTGATAGCTATAAAAATCAAAGACAGAGGATTGAACATAGAGGGGTACGTTGGTCCTCTTCTTGTGACTGCCCATGATATCAGGCAAAATGTTGCTGCTGTTGCTAACGCTCCCTGCATTTTACATGCAACTATTAGTTTCTCTATTTTAGTATGTTTAAAAAAAAGTTTTTAAATCCAACATTTCCATTTGACACCCCTTATAAGAATGACATTGACATGTTTAAGACCCACCACAAGATTCTAAGGGCATTTTTGCTATGTGTTATATACACATTTATAGCATGTTTAGCCAACCTTCCCGAAGGTTAGAAGTGATTTTTTTTTCCCCTTTAAAAAAGTGCTTATTCTAGAGAGTAGAGGCGTTCGGCCAAACTTTTAGGAGAAAAATAAGTGGCTTTTGAGTTGAAGCAGAAGGTATCTTTCAAAAGCTGAAAAGAATTAACTTCTCTCCAAATTAAAGTAGAAGCAGAAGCAGAAGCTATTTTTAAGTTTCATCTTGGAAAAAATAGACTCAAAAACACTTTTTAAAACCTTGGTCAAATACTAATTACTGCACAAATATTAATAGCTAAACACAAATTGAAGTGACCCTCATGCCTATGGTAAACAATGCAATACGATAGGTTAGGGGTAGATAGTACACTTACTGAGTAAAAGATGGTAAGTAGCTGCAAATTTAATCCCAGCTTCCAAGAGGCCTTTCTTCTATCAATGCATACTCCAACAATTACGCTTTGGATAGTTGCAATTACGCATATAATAAATGTTGAAGAATATTTGTAGGGAAACACTTTAGACACCTTGGCCTGTTACATAAATTAAAAAGAGATAATATCATAAAATACTGTCCTATACGTAGATTTCGAGCTAAATTTATCTCAACAAAATTGCCTTATTAATATTTTACCTGTATAAGGAACCAACAACCATAAGACATGCAGCTACATATCAAGAAAATAGTTCCACGAATCATATTCGTATGATCCTTGGAACTATTTTCATGCTTGTTGTGATGACTGATATAGAACACTTTGCCTTTGTAGAGAGTAATAGTCAGTGCTCCAGCCAAGCACAACATTGCACCTATAAGTTTAACTTTACCAGCCTTGGTCTTCAGTCTTAGCTTTTCAACACTTCAACAAACAGAAGAAATATTAACAAAGACATAAATGAGCTCGAAATATTCCATGCCCTAATTAAACTGAATGCTATAGATGTGGAACTTCAATTAATTTCATACCGTAACACAGTTGAGAAGATAAAGGTTACTATTGGAATTAGATTGAGGAAGTTAGTAGCATATGTTGCAGTCGTGTCTCGGAGGCCATAATAGAAAAGTCCCATAGCCATAATGATCCTGTTACATTGCTATAAATTTATTAAAGAGCTATGCAAAAGTCAAAAGTGGACAATTAAAAGTGAACGGAGGGAGTACTAATTAATCATGCAAATTAAACACTTGCAGATTGTAAGTTTTACAATGCTTAAGTATCACATGGAGTTGTTTCAGTAATATATGGCAGCAATGAATTTTGGTATTAATGTGTTTCAAACTAAGAAACATCCAGAAAATAATAAAAAAAATACAGAAGGAATACTGACTATAATTAGGAAGGATATTTTAGAGCAATATAAGTTGGTTACATTTATGTACCAACAAATAACTTGTGGATAACAATAGCTTGCCAGCTTTGGCAACAAGGTACTAATTGGTATCAATTTGCAGGTTTAAATCTACCTAGGAACGGATCCCCTATCTGAATCAAAGTGTACTAATAATGACATGTGACAATTAACTTTCCAGTTTGGCCATAAAATTTGGGAGTTTTTTTTTCAAATTTTGCTTACAATATCTGTTTTATTTATAGATTTTAATCTTTTTTTGGCAGATTTTGAAAACAAAATCTTCAAATCCCAAAAACTGCTCTAGATAGTAGTTTTTGGAGTTTTTTAACTCACAAAACTTCAAATTCTTTTCAAGAAAAATACATGTCGATCCAAACACAATTTCAACTTTCAAAAATCATTTTTCATCTCATCTTCAAACACTTATTTTTTCAAATTTCAAACAAATCTATGTCCAAACGCTAGGTTATTTAAAAAACTTCAGATAATCTTGTAGCAGAGGAAACAGTTGAGAAATTTCCTAAAGTTTCCTCCTATTTATTTTTAAAAGGACTGGACATAGCTTTCTCGTTCCTGTTTTCATTACCTTTTTTTCTTTTTGGAAGACTAATACCAATCATGTTAGAGAGAAGCGAAGCAAGCTAGCTAACACCACTTATGGTAGTTTAATGATTATCCAAAGGCAATAAGAAGGCTTTGATCGTTCAAATTGGAGACTTAAAATGATGCTTACCTGAATCCTAACCTAATCATAAAGATGGTCATTAATATCAAAAATCCCCCTGAGGTTACTGGCTACAAATCCTTGCCATAAATGGTGGCAACCAAATGTCTCTAATGCTATGCTTCTCAAGTCCTACATCAGTTGGTTTTACCAAATATGAAAGTTATCAAGTTAGGATAATACTTGAGGAGATGCTCGTTCGTTGTGACGTTGCATCAACACAGCTTTTCATGGGAATTTAGACATGGGTTTGTTAAATTAAATGCTCTTGATCATTATAATCATTCTAATTGATTGTAGTCATAAACAGATAGACATGGTAGGATTCCACATTAATGCAGTTTATTTTGAACATTCTGATTGATTACTGACATAAAATCACCAAATTGTGCACATAAAGACGCCGAATTGTATAGTAAGTGCTAATCTGTGGCCCAAAGAATCTAATGCAAAGCATGATTGATCCTTATATCAGAGGGCACAGCCAAAGGACATCATTGCATTGACAGCTACCAAGATGTATATGGTAATTATCGAAACAGCAGCTAGAAAAGTGAAAGTCTCTTGAAATGGATATCTATAAATAGGCGCGTCAAATGGACCAGGTAGACTGAATTTAGATGGATTAAAATGAGTTGAGTTAGACAGACCATCCGTCCTGAGATGGCCTAGATCAAAATGGACTGAACAAGACCTGTCCAATTCTTACCATGTTTTAATTTCTTCATCTGATTCTGTGTAATTACCAAGCAACACTAATAAACTTCTTTTCCTTTTAGTATGACTATATAGTATAACATATCAAATACTTTTACTATTTTAACATCTCAAGGGCTAATTTAATCTACATATTTAGTCCAAATCAGGCCATCTTTTAGATGCCGGGATTTCTAAAAATAGTTGTCTCAAATTATAAAGGCTAATAAACTTGAAAATGAAATATAAAAGTTACTCCTTCCGTCTCAAATTATCTGTCGTGATTTCTAGAAATAGTTGTCTCAAATTATTTGTCATTTTAAAAGTTCAAGACAAACTTAATTATTTTTTTCTATTTTATCTTTAGTACTCCCTCCAGTCCACAATAAGTGACCATCTTACCTTTGGCACACGCTTTAAGAAAATACAAACTCCTACAGAAAAAAAAAGATGTATCACTAAATTAACCTTAATTAATTGTTACCTTGACACATTGAAATATGTAAATAATGACAAATTTTGGAAAAATAAAATTAATTCCTTCTTGATTATATAAATGGACACTTATTTTGGAGCAAAATAAAAAGTAAAATGGTCACTTATTGTGGACTGGAGGGAGGAGTAATTGTTCTTGAAGACTACAAATACCTTAATTATGGAGTAATATTATGATTGTTTAAATACCAATAACACATGTAACTAAGGATAAGTTAGTCAAAAATACCTCCTAATCATTACTCCCTCCTGTCCATAACACTCCCTCCGGTCCATAATAAATGACCAATTTGCCTTTTTATTTTGGTCCAAAATAAGTGTCCATTTATATAATCAAGAAAAAATTCAATTTGTTTTTTCAAAATTACCCTTATGTATGTATCCCTAAAAAGTCTTTCACTTCTCACACTAAATTATGCTGCAATATTTAATTAAGGATAGTTTAGTCATACTAACTATTTTTGTCTAGAATTTAGTACTTCCTCCGTCTCATAATAAGTGTCGTGGTTACTAAAATTAGTTATCTCAAATTATTTGTCATTTTAATAGTTCAAGACAAAATTGATTATATTTTTGCTTTTTTACCCTTAATAATCAATTGCATTCATATTTAGTAAAAATATGGATAATGTCATTGATAGAGATGACACATAAATTGAGAAAATATTTAATAAGGGTAAAGTAGTCAAAAACTATTCTTTCTTAAGGGGCGTGCACAAGAGAATTACGACACATATTATGAGACGGCGGTAGTATTTCCTTAATGGGTGTGCCCAAGGCAAATTGGTCACTTATTATGGACCGGAGGGAGTAAGTGATTTTTTGGCTTTTGTCACACCCCTTAAAAAAATACTAACTCCTAGAGAAAAAAGGTATTTTTGACTAAATTATCCTTACTAAAAATTTGCATATTGTTAACGTTACACATTGGGATAGATAAATAAGGGTAAATTTTGGAAGAATAAAGTTTATTCCTTCTCGATTATGTAAAAGGGACACTTATTTTGGACCAAAAACAAAAGGCAAAAAAGTCACTTATTATGGATCGGAAGAATATCTTCTTAAGGGGCATAAAAACGAAAACACGACAGATAATTTAAAATTGAGAAAATAAAAATTAAAAAGACGTGCATTGATATTGAGGATTCATACAAATGACACTAACTTACTTGGTGATTGAAACATAAATGTTGGTGTCATAGAAATAACATATAGGCAGTCAATTTCAACAATATATAATAAATACTACGTGTTTCCGAAAATCAACCCAACTAATTCACAAGAAACTTGTTGATTTAATACAAAACATGAATGTCCATAGAACTAACCGACAGAGGACTACGTCTTAATGCATGTTTCATAAGTACTCTAAGTGCAAATCGACAAAGAATGATCTAGTGTTAAAGGATTATATGAGCAAGTCCACTATCTTAGAACTATTGAAGTGACTCGTATTAACACTTCGTGATTGCCTTCTCGTACATGCCCTCACTCTATTAGACTATTACTCCCGCCCCTATTTCAGTTTATGTGAACCTATTTCCCTTTTGGTCTGTTCTAAAAAGAATGATCCCTTTTTAAGTTTGGTAATAATTTAGCTTAAACTTACAATTCTACCCGTAATGAAAAACTTTTATAATCACACAAATACTCTGAACTCCTTTTTGACTTGTTTAAAACCACAAATTCTAAAAGTCTTTTTTTTTTTAAACGCCGTACCCAATCAAACAGATTTACATAAATTGGAGCGGAAGAAGCGAAACATAATATAAAAAAGAAATTCAGAAAAAAACTATTGTGATGAAAGGTGGCAGGAAATAGAACGACCCATTTGTCATTTTGCCATCATAAAAAGGCTCAAGTTCCCATGCATGGTTTGTTAAGCCTTATACACTAAAATTCTTGATACGAGAATTTATTCTTTTTTGAAACAAACAAGACTTACCCGGTTAATGCGATCATGAAAAGCCAGAAAAAAACGGACCATGTCACTTTCTTCAAGCTATCTCTACAAAATAAAAACACACAAAGAAAAAACGTAATCAGAAAAAGGATACATATATTAGAAAAAAATGGCATTAACTGTACTGAAAGTACTCATTAATTTTAAAGAGGAAAGAAAAAGGATGATAAAGATAACCTTTCCCAAATAAAAGCAAAAGGTGCGATACAAAGAGTGGCGACGACATGACGGTAAGCCATGAGTGCGAAAACAAAGGTCCCTTTACTTAATATCACCTTTGAAAGAAGTTGTAATCCAGTTGCTATTGCTTGAACTGTTAACATTCCTATCAATACATTTGATCTCTTTAACCTTTTCTTTATCTCCTCCATCTTCATTTCCTTCTTTAATTCTCTCTATTCCTTCTTGTAGACAAAATCTGCGTATATATATACAGAGAAAGAGAGAAAAAATTCACAATCTTTGGTATGGTCTCTTTTTTTGCTCCCCATGTTTCTTCTTGACATGGGGAATTAAAGGAACAGTTAATAACTAAAGTGAAGAAATAATAGGAGAGTGATCTCCTGGATCTCAGCTACGACTTGAATGTCGAGTTGGTTCTTTTTGTGAGAATCCTATATACATACGATTGAGTATAATTAATTAACTACGTTTTAATTGGTTCTCTCTCTCTTTTTACTTGGTGGATAAATGAGAATTGATAGGGAAAATCTCGGAAATGATTTTATAGTTACTGATATATATGCATTTTATTCGTAGCCACGTGCTGTGCAAGTCAAATTAACCAATTTTAATTACTATTGCCTTTCCAAATGAATAATAATAGGAATAACAGTTGACACTCCAATAAAGAGTCCTTTACGTTCTCTACTTTTACCATTGCATGTGTCCAGTTTGTACTCCCAACCAGAGTTGGATACGTTTCTTTTATGCAGATAGACAGCAAAGATGTGAAACAGAATTCTGGTAGAAGTTATATTCACAAATGAGACACAATTCTAAACACCAAACGTAATTAATGTCTTATAAAGAAGGGGGGCGGAGGGGGGGGGGGGGGGTGGTTTAGCCAACTGCATGCCTGTCCTTTTTTTTTTTTTTTGGTTTTCCAGCCGGTGTCCGGTATTTACATTGGGGCCCGACTAAATCCGGATTCGCGCCGGGAAGTCCCCATTAGGGGTAAAGCGCTCCCTAACAAAGGCGACTCCATACCCATGGGTTCGAACCCGAGACCTCTGGTTAAAGATGAATGAGTACTTACCACTCCACCACAACCGTTGTTGGTCTGCATGCCTGTCTATATATACCATAGTTAGTTCTATTGATTTTTTTAAAATATTTCACACATATCAAGAAATTCACCTTTTTAGTATTAATTAACAATATAAATGACAATATTAAGCTTAATTTGTTCATTGAAAATATAACAAACTCCTAGGCTCTTTACTCTAAGGGCAACTTTGAAAAAAAAAATAATTCCTTCTTGAGATCTGAAAAAATCAAATATTGTGGAACATAAGAAAAAGGCCAAAAAACAATTTAAGTGGACCGAAGGAAGTAAGTTATGTATAATATTATTATAAATAATTTGTGATAAGTATACATTGGTAACCTGATAAAATATACAAAGAATCTGTATATTATTAGAACTCAAATCCTTTGTAACCAAGTGACATTTGTTAGTCCCTAACAAACTGCATATGCGAATCGGGGACGTAAGCTTCCTCTCCAGGATTTGGCTGGTTTCTATTTTTAGACGATTTGTTCATCACAGTATTTGCACCGATGGAAGATATCTCTTTCGTTATGCACATTGGATTCTAACACCAAAACAAATAGAAGCATAACATGTATTTATATATAGACTTATTTTACTTAATTATAATTAGTTGGTGTATTTTCTCACTTCATCAAATCATTTTACTATAATAAATTGATATCCATTTGGTGTAAACACGGCATATATACTAAAGTGTCACCTTCAGGCAAATAAATATAAACTTCAGTCAATATACATGTAGATGTAGTGCGTACATATGCATGGATCCGGCTCTATGGTGAAGCAAGTAAGGCATTTGCTTTAGGCCGCCAAATTTAGGCGCCCATTTTTCAGCAATAATATATTTATAGTTTTTTTAATAAAAAAAAAAAAGAAAAAATATTGAGTATTTTTAGTAGAAAGTAATGTTATTCACAGAAAAGAAAAGATAATTTTGTATGAAATGTTGTAAGTATTTACACTTTCTTCCTTATTTATTCAAGTCGCAATCTTTTTTTTCCTTCTCTCATAAGATTATATACTTTCTCTCTTATCTCTTTCTTACTTTCTTCTCCAAGAATCTAAAAGTACAACTGTTCAAAATTTTAGTGGTAAAAATTTGAGATCATTAGATGACGATAATTTTAGAAAAAATTACTGCATTAACTTTGAATATTCCTTAAAATATAATAGTAATTCTAATATTGATGGTTTAGACTTATTTTTAAATTAAAAATGTTAAGGAAACTAGTACAAGCAGAAAATAATACTTTAATCGACATATTCAATCAAATAAAAAGACTTGATTTTTTTTTCAAATGCTTATATTTTTTATAAATTAACAGTTCCTATAATATTGCCTCAACAGAATGAAGTTTTTTAATCGACATATTGAATCAAATAAAAAGACTTGATTCTTTTCAAATGCTTATATTTTTCATAAAATAATATTAATAGTTCCTGTAATATTACGTCAACGGTAAGACCAACAATTCTCAAGAAAGATTAAATGAGTAGGCTACATACCATTTAAAAAAGAATTATTAGGATAATAATAAAATTATTAACTTTGCATCTCAAAAAATTAAAAGAATAATTTTTTTAAAAAAAAAAAATTAATTTTTAAATTTAAGGCCTCCAAATAAAATTTGGTTTTAGGCCTCTTAAGTGTTTGAGCCGCCCCTGGCATGGATTCAAGCTCGCAGTTCCAATTAACTGGGTTTGATTGAATTAAAATGGATTAGTTGTTTGCATTGTACTAAAGAAAGTACAATAGAGAAGGCAAGTATACTAGCTGTCACACCTCTTTTTTACACACCCACCCCGAAGGATAAATGTATAAGGGAGTTTTTCCATTTAAAGTGACATTATTCGAAATGGGATTATTTATTTATTTTTAGAGTCGCCACTTGGGATAAGATTGGCTTTTGGTGTCCCAAGTTACCGGTTTAATTTAAATCCCAAATCGAGGAAAAATTCGACTTCCCAATTGGAGTCTGCGAACCAGAAATTCTGAATAAGGAATTCTATTGACCCGAGGGAAGGTGTTAGGCACCCCCGGATCCCGTGGTTCTAGCACGGTCGCTTAAATTATTATAAATGGCTAAAATCTGATTTTTATACACGTTTAAACCTATAGTGCAATTTTTCAAGATTATTTGCAGCTTTTAATTATTTTTTACGAAAGTGAACGCCGTTTAAGAGCGTGCCTTTGGATCACGTCACATGAAATGCACCCGGATCCTCAACACCTCTTATTCAACGTTTTAGGATTTGGATTTGGGTTGCGCGAAATGCGTACCCGTATTTAAGAAGGTAAACTTATTAAAACGTGCCTATAGCGACTAGCGGATTATCATCTTTGCAGGGAAAACCGTGAAATTCGCTAAACGGCACGTCCCGAATTCTAAGCATGTTATTATAAGCAACTAATGAGGGCCTCGCTATCTATGCAATTTTATCTAGCGAGGTTCATCTCGTTTTATTATTTTATGGCTAACCTAAGTAGACTAAGATTTTCTATTCATTTCCGTCTTTAAAGGGGTCCTAATTAATTCACATTTATAAATTCGGGTCTCGAATTCAAGTCCGAATTCAAACAAAAGGGGAAACCCTCTTAATTCGAACCCGCCACCTAATTCGAAACCTAAATTTTATTTGCAATTATTCCCCGTATTCCTATGTATATCTTTGAAAAATGATTTTTTAACTTGAAGCATTTGTTGGGCCTTGAAACGTGAGATTTCCAGCATTCACTGGGCCTTAAAAGGAATCCAGGAATACGAAATAAATAGTTTGTTCTATGAACTGTTATAGCTCAACTGGGCCTCAGTGTGAGCCCAATTGGCATGAGACTCCCGCAATAGGTAGATGGGTAAATACCAGTCCACAAATACTAGGATGATTCTTGTATAACTGGGCCTAGCTTGCACCACCCAAATGTTATATTGGGCCCAGCATCAAATTCGAACATGTTCTGGATCTTCACACAGTGAGTAAAATTGAACATTTAGCTTTTTACAAACTGGACTCAAACTTTAGAGGATATCCAAGGATTTAAACTAGCATAAATCTCGCAATGGTCTAATGTTTATTGTACAAGATATGATCACGTATTATCACTTAATCCAAGATATTAAACCTACATAAATTAGTTCGAATCTATTATCAAAACAGTCCAAAGTAATCTAACGACAATCCGAAATAGTCTAGGAACAGTCCATGTTATACAGTCCAAAGTTCATTCGTACACAAATTAGAATCAAATCATCTTAAACTTTAATATCTACTTAGCTATTACTACATAACAACCAAAGTAAGCACAATTTAGGAATCAAATGTGCAAGCATCTCTTTATTTCATCTCCATTTATAGTTACATCAAGCCGAATTTGAGCATGTACCTGGAATTTGAACCAAAAATGGAAGAGGAAGAAGTCAGCGGTAGTAAGCAGTAGCAGCTAATAGCCAAGCAACTAGCTCGTACGCAGTCCAGCAATAACAGAAACAGACCAGAATCGAGATATGAAGGACACGACTCCAATAACCACGTAGCAGACTAGATTGAACCAAGACGAATTGAAACTAAACTTAGGAGGAGATTTCTGATCTTCAGCAACTAGAAATAACTCAGAACATACTGATTTGATCTCGAATTTGAGCAAAATTAGATTATAAAGCAAGATCAATCTTAAAACAATATAGCAGTGTCTTCTTTTACTGGGCTTCGTTTTTTTTTGTATGTTTTCTTTTGATTTTTTGCAGAAATGAGATCTAAAAGTAACTTGAACTTCAGGATTCAGATTTTTCTTTGAAATTTTCAGAGGTCCCCTCTAACTTGTTGAACAAGGCAGTGTATGTGCCTTTTTATAGGCAAAACCTAAGGTTAACTTCAGATTTTAGTTTTCTTTTTAGTCCCTTTCTTATTTAGTTTCTTAGTCCCTCATTTCTAAGACTTATTACCCAAGTAACAACACTTATTTCACCAAAACTACACTAAAGTCTTGTTCTAGAAGGTCCTATACCCATTACAATTCCCACACTACCCTTCCCTTACCTTTACAATTACCATTCCTAATAAAACTACCCTTTTCCATACCCAAGCTACCCCTGAAATTCCCTTGGAATTACTGGCTAACTAAACCCTCTTACTTTGAACCACAGTCAAGCAATTTTAAAACAGTTATAGCCAAAAAATCAATTTCAAGGCCGGATCCAAACTAAATAATGGGACTACCAGTCAATTGACTCTCACAAAATCAGTACCAAGACTTAAACTAGCCCGGATTAACGAGCAAATCAGAAACAGACCTAGAACTAATCAAAATTTCTAAATTAATAACATGAAACAAGAAAGAACTGAGAACCCTAATAGAAAACTAGAAGAAAGGAAATCTTACTTAATAAATTTTATTCTGATAAA